AAGGTTTACCTGCTTAGTCCTTCTCATACAGCACAGCATTGTTGAATTGGTTGGTCTACTCTCCTCCTTCCTTCCTTTCTCCTTCTTCTCTTCCTCTCTGGTCGCCTTCTGTCGCCCCCTCTCTCTCACACGCTCACACACGCAGGCACGCTCTCTCACACATACAGCGGGGGGCTAGCTGGAACTGAAGAAACGCTCCTTCCTTCTGCACATCACACACATGCACGCCCTGTCTCTCTCTCTCTCTCTCTCTCTCTCTCTCTCTCTCTCTCTTGCTCTCTCTCCCTCTCTCTCTTCCTTACTCTCTTCCGCTCTCTTGCTCTCCTGCTCTCTCCCTCGTTCTCCTATCCCAAGCCCTCCCCAACCTTGTCAGCCCCCTCTTCCTCCTCCCAGTCCCCCGTCATGAATATTTAAACACCGGCAATCTGTACCCAATTACCACGACTTTCCATCCACAGAAAGAAGGGGCTTTTTTAAATTTTATTTTGCCTTTTACCTCTACGCCTTGTGTTCTTTACGTACTTATGTCATTTGGACCCCCCCTACTCTCCTCCCCATCCCTCCCCTCCTCCCCATCCCTTTTCATTTTTCTATCCTCTCCATCCATCCATCCATCCCTCCCGTCTTGTCGTGTTCACATAACGTGTCTCCAGACAGCGGGGAGCGGAGCAGGGTGTGGACCTGCCCAGGACCGCTCGCTGCTGCCTGAGGATCCCATTGTTCAGGTGATGGGGGAGATGGGAGAGAGAGAGCAAGCAGGGTGAGGTCATGGACTATGACATCATAGGAGAAGGGGGATATGTCACCCCCTGCAATCCCCCCCCCCCTTTCCCCCAATCACCGACGGCTCACCTACTTTATACATGTGTCGCTGGGAACACCACAAGCAACTGGTGAAACAAGTCACGCTGTGTGTGGATGGAGAGAGATACAACGTGGGGATACGGGTACAGAGACATAGCGGGAGAAAGAGATAGATAGATGGATAGATAGATAGATAGATAGATAGATAGATAGATAGATAGATAGATAGATAGATAGATAGATAGATAGATAGATGGATGGATGGATGGATGGATGGATGGATGGATGGGTGGGTGGATGGATGGATGGATGGATGGATGGGTGGGTGGGTGGATGGATGGATGGATGGATAGATAGATAGATAGATAGATAGATAGATAGATAGATAGATAGATAGATAGATAGATAGATAGATAGATAGATAATACTGTAGATAGATATGAGTTTGATTAATAGATAGTTAATAGGCAAGATATATATAAGTAAATAGAAATAATAAAAAGATTATAGATAGATAGATAAATATAGAGATAATAGAACAAAGATAGATATTAGATAGATAGATAGATAGATAGATAGATAGATAGATAGATAGATAGATAGATAGATAGATAGATAGATATTAGATGGATAGATAGATATTAGAGGGATAGATAGATATTCGATAGATAGATAGATAGATAGATAGATAGATAGATAGATAGATAGATAGATATTAGATAGATAGATAGATAGATAGATAGATAGATAGATAGATAGATAGAGAGATGTATGGCAAAAAAGCCAAAGAGGTTAATTGATGTCCCAGAAAGAAATTCTCTTTGTCTCCCAACAGCCGGTGCTGATTGACACACTGGCGGCCATGTTGACTCTTGTGAGCTCTATAGCCACCAGCACACTGTAAAAAGTGACCTAACCCAGTCTGTTGCAAGGGCCCCACATATGGTGACATCATATGAACGTGTGATGTCATATCTACAGAGTATACTGCAGGAAACGACGGCCCACACAATATTTTCTTGTCAGAAGTCTACTTTAGGAAGACAGTGCTACTGTGGAAGAAGATAACATAATTCTGAAACAAAAGGAAAAAGAAGAAACGTGGGCGCTTCTCACCTTAAAGCAGGACTCCACTTACATTAAAAAAATGAAGATTAACAACCCAGGAAAGTTCAGCTTTGTCCGCAATACTGACGTTCAATACAGAGCTGTCCCTGCAGTACTTTATTCCCACCACTAGATGTCTGGAGCCTACCAGACTGCACAATGGCCAGGGTCACTTAGCTCTCCTCATCTGGGCCCAGGCTCTTATAGACGTTCCCCTTGGAGTGGTATTATAATGACAGCCTAGACCAGGGGTGGGCAACTCTGGCCCTCCAGCTGGGCTTTACCTACAAATCCCAACATGCCTCTGGGATTTGGGTGTCACCCAGAGCGGATACCGAGTCACACACCGCCGTGACGTCATCGCGCATGCGCGGCCATCCTACTGCTAGCTGCCGGCGGCCATCTTGGTGATGGACGCAGGCAGAGAGAGGAGCGGACGTTCACCTGGCCAAATAAGGTATGGCGCCGGGTCCCTTCCTCTCTCCTGATACTGTCGGGCTCTCGGCCCCTGACCGAGTGCCCGACTTTTCAGAGGGGGTGACACCAAAATTACTGTTAGTCATTTTGGTGTCACCCCTCCAATGGTGCCACCCGGGTGCGGGCCGCACCACCCTTGTGACGCCACTGCCTCTGGGAGTCATGCCTGTAACCGTCAGTCTTGCAATGCCTCATGGGACTTGTAGTTCAACAACATCTAGAGGGACAGAGTTGCCCACCCCTGGCCTAGACTCAATGTACCACTACACTAAATGGTGCCTCCATGTCATGACACCACTGCCAATGTTGGGTGAAAAGAAGAAGGACCTGTGGCATCATCGAACTGGCCTGAAGACCCTTGGACAAAAAGTTCTGTATATTTTTTTAAAGCAGAGGGTTTAAGTAGACCTCACCTTTAAGGTCTGCAGAAAAAAACAGGTAGACAGCCCCCTTGTGAGTGTACCTGGTTCTGTTCAATCTGCAAAAAATCAGGACTACCCTTCCACAGAAACTTCTTCTTATAGATGAAATTGTTTCCAAAAATGGTTACTTGATGGACGGCCCTGTTACTGGGACCTCTTGCAGTCTCCAAAAGCCCGTTTGACAAGGTGACCACGCAAGAGCAAAACTTGGAGATGGAGATAGAGCGTTGTCACCATATACCAGGAAATGTCCGGACAATGCCCTTCCTGGCAGGATCATCAAGTATAATTTTACCAAAAAGCCGCAGATTTAAAAATAATGATTTTTGAAATAACATTGACATGCTAAAGCTTATGTGAGATCTTAGCGATTTGGTTTACACTTAAAGCGAAACCTTTACCCATATCTTTAAAATAACAACAAACACACCTTGAGAAATGTTTAGTAATGACAATCTACAGACACATACTTCCAGATAATTGCATTCCTTATTTCTCTTTTCTTCCCCAGTCTTCTGACAGCGGCCATGTTTACTAAGGGCAGATTACTAGCTCTCCTTTTACTTCCTGCATTTCTGGCACATGTGACTAGGACATGTGACCATGCACACAGGCCCGGCGCTACCGCAAGGCAAAGCAAGCGGCCGTCTGAGGGCGCTGCAGGGTGAGGGCGGAAAAAAACAGGGCATTTTGACAAGTACTTGTAACATCATTTTAGGGAAGGAATTCAGCCCCGCTCCTTTTCTGGGCATGTCCATGATGCCCCAAGCCATCATAGGTGGAACCCCCAGAAATAAGGACTACCCACTGCTGCCACTAGCGAAGAGGAGGGGCCCATAACATAATCAATACTGCAGGCATAAAGGTATGTATAGTTTTTTGTTTTTTTTTAACAAAATGTTGGGGGTAGGGGGCAAAACAGTGAGGGGAAAATGGCAGGGGGAGGATAGCTTCCCAGCCAATCAGCATTGAGCCGCCCGAACGCATAGTTCAAGCCAGGCTGCATTCTGGGGCGGGAGAGGGCATGATGGTGCCATTCATGTCACTGGCACTGTACGATCACCCACAGCGGAATGCATAGTACAGGAATGCCCTCCGTTCCGGTGCAGTGCAATTGGAAAAATAGTGCATGCAGCATTTCTTACTGCGTTCCTGTACCCCGCGTTCCAGCGCGGGCGATCGCACTGCTGGCAGTAGGCGTGTCTGCGGTACCATCGACATAAATGGCACTGCCACGCCCCCTCCTGCCCAAGAACGCGGCCCCGGCTTGATGTATGTGATCTAGTGCATTCTGGGCTCGAAGCGCACCCGAACGCACTGGATATGGTGTGACAGGGCCCTCAGTCCGGTAAGTTGTGAGGTGATCGGCCTACAGGGATTGGACTTTTTTTCCCCACAGATGCTCGATTGGATTGAGATCTGGAGAATTTGGAGGACAAGTCATCACCTCAGACTCGTTGTTGCGTTCCTCAAATCATTCCTGAACCCTATTTGCAGTGTGGCAGGGCGCATTATCCTGCTGAAAGAGGCCACTGCCATCAGGGAAAACCGTCTCCATGAAGGGGGGTACTTGGTCAGCAACAATGTTTAGGTCGGTGGTACGTGTCAGAGTGACATCCACATGAATGGCAGGACCCGAGGTTTCCCAGCAGACCATTGCCCAAAGCACCACACTGCCTTCTTCCCATAGTGCATCCTGGTGCCATCTCTTCCCCAGGTAAGTGACACAAGCACCCGCCCGGCCATCCACATGATGATTCATCAGACCAGGCCACCTTCTTCCATTGCTCCGTCATCCTGCTCCGATGCTCACATGCACATTGTGGGCGTCCTTTGGTGGTGGATACGGGTCGGCATGGGCACCCTGACCGGTCTGCGGTTACACAACCCCATACACAACAACCTGCGATGCTCTGCGTGTTCAGACACCTTTCTATCAGAACCAACATTCACTTTATCAGCAATTTCAACTACAGTAGCTCTTCTATTGGATCGGACTACATGGACCAGCCTTCACTCCCCTAATGCATTAATGAGCCTCGGCCACCCATGACCCTGTCACCAGTTCACCGGTTTTCCTTCTTTGGACCACTTTTGGTCGGTCCTGACCACTGCAGACCGGGAACATCCCACAAGTTTTGGAGTTGCTCTGACCCAGTCGTCTAGACATCACAATTTCGTCCTCGTTAAAGTCGCTCAAATCCTCACACTTGTCCATTTTTTGTGCTTCCAACACATCAACTTCAGGGACAAAATGTTCACTCACTGCCTAAATTACCCCACCCCCTCCAGGTGTCA